TCCAAGTGTGTCTCAAATTATCTGTACAGGTAAAATGTATATTATGCATGGCATAAAATGAGACTGTGACTAAACTAACCCGAGTTGTAAAAAGTCCGTGACGTATAGCTGATGGGGTATGACAATGTCGACAAAGGAATTGTATTTCATGTTTTATCTAATTCTTATCATCAGACTCACTTGGGTAGTAGTCGGGATATGAAGGACTCGTGAATTCTCCCATCTCTCCCACAAGCTCGTCACCTGGTGGGAACAGTTCCGTGCACACGGTCCCATCCCCTGTAAACCCCTGGAGGCAGGAACATTCGAACCCCACGTACTTGTCGCTGCAGACAGCATTGGAATCACAGTTGTGAGTTCCGGTTTGGCATTCATTGTCCCCAGCTATGAGAGCTAACGAAAAAAGGTACATATACGTTGTCATAAAACAAACCATGTGGATATTTATAAAAAGCTTCAGCAAGTTCTTCAGGTACAGACATGGGGATTGACATACGTCTTTTTTACTACATTCTTTGTTATAATTATGCATTAAATATTATGTTTCCATTAGGCATAGGCATTAGAACAAGTAAACTGTTTACTAATCTCCAAGCGGATAATACAGCGGTAAGATAGAATCAATTGGCCAAAACAGTGTCCAGTAGCCTATGGATACGGCGTTGCTACCGTTTGATCTGTTGGAGGTAAGTTGTTCGCCACCAATGCCACAGTTCAATGAAAATACATCTGCAGATAGGCTGGGTGTCAACTCGTTTCTTTTCTCTAGGTTTGTTGGGTTCTTTTACGAGCAGATGGGTTTCGCAAGATACTTTTATATTCGGGACCAACGACTGAATGCCCTATCAGTCGTAAACTGCACAATTTGATCGCTACACTGCACGATCTGATCGCTACACTGCACGATCTGATCGCTACACTTCCGGATCTGATCGCCACACTGCACGATCTGATCGCTACACTGCCCGATCTCATCGCTACACTGCACGATCTCATCGCTACACTGCATGATCTGATTGTTAAATTGCACAATCCGGTCGCTGAACTACAAAAGCTGATGACCAAACTGCCCGATTTGATCGCTACACTGCACGATTTGATCGCTACACTGCACGATCAGATCGCTACACTGCACGATCTGATCGCTACACTGTACTATCTGATCGCTACTCTGCACGATCTGACCGCTACACTGCATGATCTGATCGCTACACTGCACGATCTGATCGCTACACTGCACGATCTGATCGCTACACTGCACGATCTGATCGCTAAACTGCACAATCTGACAGATACACACGACCTGACCACTAAACTGCACAATCCGACCGCTAAACTACAAAAGCTGATCACCGAACTGCCCGATTTGATCGCTTCACTGCACGACCTGATCGCTACACTGCACGATCTGATCGCTACACTGCACGACCTGATCGCTACACTGCACGATCTGATCGCTACACTGCACGATCTGATCGCTACACTGCACGATCTGATCGCTACACTGCACAATCTGATCGCTACACTGCACAATCTGATCGTTAAACTGCAGTCCCTTTTAGTCGAGTTCAAATCACGTCTACATTTCTACACTAGGACAACTAGCATATTACAGACAAAGACCATTAGGGTATGTCGCAAAAGACATCCTCTCACCGGAAGGGCCAAATATGACAGAATTGGGGTCCACCGGCTCGGTGCCGAAGTTGCCACCACTTGTGCTGCTTGAGATCAGAGCCTCAGCCTCAGGAATGGCCTCTGTTGTCATGTTGAGTTGAGAAACAGCAATGACGCTACCAGGTCTGCAGGGAAAAAATCTTGTGCATGGCTCTATATCTCTATCCGAAAAGACCCCATAAACGTCCTTCGACCAGAAACAGTTTACTGTCACCAGATGCGGAACTACTAGTAAAAGTGGATAGCACCAGCACCACTATGTTTTTCGATTACCACTAATTTAAGGGAGGTTTGCAGTTACTGTGCTAAAACAAAACAAGAAGTATGCATGGTTTACGCGTTTAAATGAGTAAGGAGGAAATGGTGGTTGAAACTATCAGTTTCAACCTTTGGGTTTGCACTCCTCTGGTTCAAATTTCTACTTCCAAACACCAGGGTTTTTTGGCAAATTATAAGAATAAGAAAGGATAGGGATTTGCAGCCTTGCAGCAGGTTCAGAGTAGGACAGCCTTTAAATCACCGGATAAGCAGGTTATCTAAAAACTGAGAGAGAAGCGTGCATGTACACCATGTTTCGTAGATAAAGAAAACCCACTTTAAAGCTAAGACTGAAATGTCACTGATGCTATCTTCTATCTCTGTGGCGATTTCTCTCAACTGGAAAAGAAAACACAAGTTCTTCTCTTAATAAGCACATAGCAAATGTAGAACCATGGCCATAGACACAGACCTTGCCAGTAGATAATAATGACCATATCGTATGGTCTTGTACTGTATCAAGTTACATATCTACCGGCTTTCTTGTTACAGATTTAATTTGTAAACATGAATCTTACAATTATAATCATGCTAAAATTATCTTACTGTATTCTTGATATAGTCAGTGAGCTCTTCCCTCAGCTGTTGGTTGGAGAAAACTGCAGTCCATCGTGGGTTTGTCAAGAGAACGGCAAGATAGAGACTAGCGCCAGCTGTTGGTGTAGATAACACACATGGGCGTGATATAAGAAAACTTGATACAAGTTCACACTTGATACAAGAGGTGTCAAGTCACACAAAGCTTAAACCATCCTGAAGTAGTGACTGTTGAAAGATGCGCTGAAATTTAACTACGCTATTTACTTAAGAAGGTAACTAGTGTGCTACTATATATGTTTTAGCCAGATTTTGCCGCTTTGCAGATGGTGAGACGCTGTCAGACTAAGCGTAGGTTGAATCAATAATAGCAGTACAAACTGTCCCAGATATGACTAGTCGGTCATACGTGTAAAATAGAAATATTATTAGTCATCCTACCAGTGCAGTTAAAACCGTTCCCTATATATCCCGGGTAGCATTGACAAAGGAAGGACCCGTCACTGTTGGTGCATCTGGCATTAGTATGACATGGTGAGTCAACTGTACATTCGTCAATGTCTGCAAAAACAACAACAAAGTAAAAATAATGAATGCTAGATTTAAAAAGGATACCAAACAATGACCTCATTCAGGGTAAAGATACTTGATATTGATATTGAGATATTTTAGCATATTAAAACGTCTTACCTATGCATTCAAAGCCACTCTTTTCATATCCACTGTTGCACTCGCAAAGAAAGGACCCATCTGTGTTGGTGCACCTGGCATTTACATCGCAGGGTGCGTCAGCTGATAGTGTACATTCGTCGATGTCTGAAATAAATTACACAACTTTTAAAAAATACATAATTTATACACATATTTCTATCAAGTAAAATACGCAAGTTCAATCCCTTAGAAAAGAACACCATGAATAGCCACGAAACTGATTACTTATCAGGAATATCTGACCCATCTTACCTGTGCAAGTTGGAATAGGATTACTCCATGTTCCTTCAGCTTGGCATCTCGTATTAAAAGTACCGACCAGTAAGTATCCTGACTCACAGGTAAACGTAACCTTTTGCCCATAAGAGCTCACTCCGGTAGGATTCAAAGCTCCATTAGTTGGAGGAGTCAACGCCGGACATTGCCTGGCTGAAATAGTAGGGAAAATGTATAATAGTCATAAACTAAAGCAAGTGAATGTATTTTTGACATCGCCTTAAAAAATATTAAGTGTTCTTACCTGTGCATGCTGGAACAGGATGACTCCATGCTCCACTAACTTGGCAAGACACAACAGAAGCACCATTAAGTTTCACGTTTCACATTATCCAACGTTACAGGTGAACGTAACCACGTCTGGTAAAAGTACGCTTCAGTAGAACTAATTGTTTCGTAAACTGGGACCGTCAGAATCGGACATTCTAGCGAAAAATTCCGTGGAGCACCAACTCCCCTGGCGGGATATCTGTCAATTTGGACATTCTTTTTCCTGACCTATCCCGAGCCTGGTAGAGGCCAATATTTTATGTGAAAATACTATCTTTTGACAATGTTCCATAGAACTAAATATGATAAAAATGTATTGCTACTTTGTAGACGTAACTAATAAATTATTAGTCTATAAAAAGATGTAAAAATCAGAAATTCTGCTGCAGCACCAAGTTCAGGAGGTCTACATTTAACCTTAAACTTTGTCTTTTCTAGACCCAACAGATATCAAATGTTTTCACAATTCATTAAGATGTTCTAAAGGAATAATGACTACAAATGTGCTGCAACAATTGACTACAAATGACTACAGTCACAGAGACACCGAAACACAGACACAAACAAATACACACAAAAACATACATACCAAAAGATAATACTCAATTGTTGATGGAGGTAATTACGTAATAAACTACATTGTACATACGATTTTAAATACACAACTGAAACATTAGCAAGATCTGGCACCCAATCCTCTTGTAGTTTCAAGCAATAAAATCAGGAGGAAAATAAGAATTTAGAATTAACAATTTATCCCTGAATACATAATCAGCCACCATTCTGTGAAATTTTGCCTGTGTAACGTATGTTTTCTAAATACACAAGGATTAGTATGTATCATTGCCCCGATACGTTAGCATATTATCTGTGAACTTGTCTTACGATCGCATGTCGGTACAGGATTACTCCATGTTCCGTCAGGTTGGCAAGTCGCAGTAGCTTCTCCGTTCAGTACGTATCCCGAGTTACAGGTGAAGGTGGCCGAGTTCGGGTAGGAGACCACTCCGGTAGGACTCACCGCTCCGTTAGCTGGAGTTGTCCTCGCCTCACATTGGACGGCTGTAACCGAAAAAAAAACAGTCAAACTTGCCGTTTCAAGATTTCGATATGTACATCTACAGGTCAGAAATCGATATCCCATTGCAGAAACCTACACAACAATCCCCGATAATAGACGTCTGATTCAAAACACTAAAACCGGCCTGTCTTTACATATCATTATTAAAATAGCTTAGGCGGTTCAAACAACACATTAGTGTCCAAATGATTTTACTTGTGCATGTTGGAACAGGATTACTCCATGTTTCGTCAGCTTGGCACATCGTGTCAGAAGTGCCGTTCAGTTCGTATCCCGTGTCACAGGTAAAGGTGACCACGTCCTGATATCTGTACGGTCCGACAGGACTAAGCTCTCCGTTTGTAGGGGCCGGCAAAGAAATACATTGTACGCCTGAAATGGAAAGAAGAAATCATCATTGATAGTGTATATTATCGTCAGCTATCATCTGGTCACCTATATAAAGATACGGAAAAGGTCTAAAATTATTGAGAATGCTCAAAATAAAAAGTTTATGATTCGATTTGGTAGAAAGCATTAGTTTTTTAAAGTAGTTATACGTACGTGTGCATGTTGGAACCGGATTACTCCATGTTCTGTTAGCTTGGCACATCGTGTCAGCAGTACCGTTCAGTTCGTATCCCGTGTCACAGGTAAAGTTTACCACGTCCTGGTAGCTGTACGGTCCGGCAGGACTCACCTCTCCGTTTGTAAGGGTCGGCAAGGAAATACATTGTACGCCTAAAATGAAAATACGTAATCATCATTAATAATGTATATAGCTGTAGTTGTCGGAAAGTCTTTTTGCCTATTTGACAGTACGTAAAAGGCGTAAAAATTTAGAGAAAGCTTTCTTTCTTTTTTAATTAATGTAAATGAAAAGTTTACGAATCGAGTTGGTAGAATTTTGTTAGTATATTTCAAACGTCGTTTTACGTACGTGTGCATGTTGGAACAGGATTACTCCATGATCTGTTAGCTTGGCACATCGTGTCAGCAGTACCGTTCAGTTCGTATCCCGTGTCGCAGGTAAAGTTTACCACGTCCTGGTAGCTGTACGGTCCGACAGGACTAAGCCCTCCGTTTGAAGGGGTCGACAATGAAATACATTGTACACCTAAAATGGAAATACGTAATCATTATTGATAACGCATAAAGCTGTAGTTGTCGGCGAAAGTCTTTTTGCCTATTTGACAGTATGTAAAAGGCTAAAAAAATTGAAGAAAGCTTTTCTTTCTTTTTTAATCAATCTAAATGAAAAGTTTACAAATCGAGTTGGTAGAAATACATCAGTATATTTTAAACGTCGATTTACGTACGTGTGCATGTTGGAACAGGATTACTCCATGTTCTGTTAGCCTGGCACATCGTGTCAGCAGTACCGTTCAGTTCGTATCCCGTGTAACAGGTAAAGTTTACCACGTCCTGGTATCTGTACGGTCCGGCAGGACTAAGCTCTCCGTTTGAAGGGGTTGTCAAGGGAATACATTGTACGCCTAAATGAAACAAAAGCTTTATTATGAATAATGCATAAGGCTACAATCGTCGATAAACGTCTGAACTCTTTTTTAGAACTACAGAAAAGGACCAAAAATTATCGAGAAAGCGAAACATTTTTTTTTAATTAACGTAAACGAAAAAACAATACGTATCGATTTGGTATTGCATTAATTTGAAAACGTCGTTTTACGTACGTGTGCATGTTGGAACAGGATTACTCCATGTTCTGTTAGCTTGGCACATCGTGTCAGCAGTACCGTTCAGTTCGTATCCCGTGTCACAGGTAAAGTTTACCACGTCCTGGTAGCTGTACGGTCCGGCTGGACTAAGCTCCCCGTTTGTAGGGGTCGGCAAGGAAATACATTGTACTCCTAAAATAGAAAAACGTCATCATCATTGATAATGCAAATAGCTGCAGTCATCGGCGAACGTCTTTTCGCCTATTTGAAAATACGCAAAAGGGCAAAAATTATTGAGAAAGCTAAACTTTCTTTACTACCAGTATTGAATGTAAATGAAAAGTTTACAAATCGAGTTGGTAAAGTACCTTAGTATATTTCAAACGTCGTTTTACATACGTGTGCATGTTGGAACAGGGTTACTCCATGTTCTGTTAGCTTGGCACATCGTGTCAGCAGTACCGTTCAGTTCGTATCCCGTGTCACAGGTAAAGTTTACCACGTCCTGGTAGCTGTACGGTCCGGCAGGACTCACCTCTCCGTTTGTAAGGGTCGGCAAGGAAATACATTGTACGCCTAAAAATGAAAATAAGTAAGCATCATTGATAATACAAATAGCTGTAGTTGTCGGCGAACGTCTTTTTGCCTATTTGACAGTAAGCAAAAGCGTTAAAAAATTTGGAGAAAGTCTTTTCTTTCTTTTTAAATGAATGTAAATAAAAGGTTTACGAATCGAGTTAGCAGAAATATGTTAGTATATTTGAATCGTCGTTTTACGTACGTGTGCATGTTGGAACAGGGTTACTCCATGTTCTGTTAGCTTGGCACATCGTGTCAGCAGTACCGTTCAGTTCGTATCCCGTGTCACAGGTAAAGTTTACCACGTCCTGATAGCTGTACGGTCCGGTAGGACTAAGCCCTCCGTTTGTAGGGGTCAACAAGGAAATACATTGTACGCCTAAAATGAAAAAAAACGTCATCATCATTGATAATACAAATAGCTGCGTCGTCGCCGAACGTCTTATTGCCTATTTGAAAATACGCAAAATGGCAAAAATTATTGAGAAAGCTCAACTTTCTTTACTATTTAATGTAAATAAAAAGTTTACAAATCGAGTTGGTAAAAGTACCTTTATATTTCAAATGTTGTTTTACGTACGTGTGCATGTTGGAACAGGATTACTCCATGTTCTGTTAGCTTGGCACATCGTGTCAGCAGTACCGTTCAGTTCGTATCCCGTGTCGCAGGTAAAGTTTACCACGTCCTGAAAGCTGTTCGGTCCGGCAGGACTCACCTCTCCGTTTGTAAGGGTCGACAATGAAATACATTGTACGCCTAAAATGAAAAAAACGTAATCATCATTAATAATGCACTGAAATGAAAATACGTAATCATCATTAATAATGTACATAGCTGTAGTTGTCGGCGAACGTCTTTTTGCCTATTTGACAGTAAGCACAAGCGTTAAAAATTTGGAGAAAGCTTTTCTTTCTTTTAAAATCAATGTAAATGAAAGTTTAAGAATCGAGTTAGTAGAAATATGTTAGTATATTTCAAACGTCGTTTTACGTACGTGTGCATGTTGGAACAGGATTACTCCATGTTCTGTTAGCTTGGCACATCGTGTCAGCAGTACCGTTCAGTTCGTATCCCGTGTCACAGGTAAAGTTTACCACGTCCTGGTAGCTGTACGGTCCTGCTGGACTAAGCTCTCCGTTTGTAAGGATCGGCAAGGAAATACATTGTACGCCTAAAATGAAAATACGTAATCACCATCGATAATTCATATAGCTGTATGTAGTAGTCGACGAAAGTCTTTTTGCCTATTTGACAGTATGTAAATGGCTTATGAAATTTGGAGAAAGCTTTTCTTTCTTTTTTAATCAATCTAAATGAAAAGTTTAAAAATCGAGTTGGTAGAAATACATCAGTATATTTTAAACGTCGATTTACGTACGTGTGCATGTTGGAACAGGATTACTCCATGTTCTGTTAGCTTGGCACATCGTGTCAGCAGTACCGTTCAGTTCGTATCCCGTGTCACAGGTAAAGTTTACCACGTCCTGATAGCTGTACGGTCCGGCAGGACTCACCTCTCCGTTTGTAAGGGTCGTCAAGGAAATACATTGTACGCCTAAAATGCAAATACGTAAGCATCATTGATAATACAAATAGCTGTAGTTGTCGGCAAGTCTTTTTGCCTATTTAATAGTACGGAAAGGGCGTAAAAAATTTAGAGAAAGCTTTTCTTTCGTTTTAATTAATGTAAATGAAAAGTTTACAAATCGAGTTGGTAAAGTACCTTAGTATATTTCAAACGTCGTTTTACGTACGTGTGCATGTTGGAACAGGGTTACTCCATGTTCTGTTAGCTTGGCACATCGTGTCAGCAGTACCGTTCAGTTCGTATCCCGTGTCACAGGTAAAGTTTACCACGTCCTGGTATCTGTACGGTCCTGCTGGACTAAGCACTCCGTTTGTAGGGGTCGGCAAGGAAATACATTGTATTCCTAAAATGGAAAAACGTCGTCATCATTGATAATACAAATAGCTGCAGTCGTCGGCGAATGTCTTTTCGCCTATTTGGAAATACGCAAAAGGGCAAAAAATTATTGAGAAAGCTAAACTTTCTTTACTACTAGTATTGAATGTAAGTGAAAAGTTTACAAATCGAGTTGGTAACGTACCTTAGTATATTTCAAACGTCGTTTTACGTACGTGTGCATGTTGGAACAGGATTACTCCATGTTCTGTTAGCTTGACACATCGTGTCAGCAGTACCGTTCAGTTCGTATCCCGTGTCACAGGTAAAGTTTACCACGTCCTGGTATCTGTACGGTTCGGCAGAACTAAGCCCTCCGTTCGAAGGGGTCGGCAAGGAAATACATTGTACGCCTAAAAGGATAAAAAGTGTATCATCATTAAAAATGTATCATGCAAGCTACAATCGTCAGGGGAACACCCGAACAACTTTTGAAATTACGTAAACACCAAAAAATTTTAGAGAAAGCAAACTTTTTTCTATTTAATAGAACCGTAAAGTTTACGTATGGATTTTGTAAAAATTCATTAGGTTTTTTCAAAACTTGTTATACTTACGTGTGCATGTTGGAACCGGGTTACTCCATGTTCTGTTAGCTTGGCACATCGTGTCAGCAGTACCGTTCAGTTCGTATCCCGTGTCGCAGGTAAAGTTTACCACGTCCTGGTAGCTGTACGGTCCGGCAGGACTCACCTCTCCGTTTGTAAGGGTCGGCAAGGAAATACATTGTACGCCTAAAATGAAAATACGTAATCATCATTGATAATGCACACAGCTGTAGTTGTCGGCGAACGTCATTTTCCCTATTTGACAGTAAGCACAAGCGTTAAAAATTTGGAGAAAGCTTTTCTTTCTTTTAAAATCAATGTAAATGAAAGTTTAAGAATCGAGTTAGTAGAAATATGTTAGTATATTTGAATCGTCGTTTTACGTACGTGTGCATGTTGGAACAGGATTACTCCATGTTCTGTTAGCTTGGCAGATCGTGTCAGCAGTACCGTTCAGTTCGTATCCCGTGTCGCAGGTAAAGTTTACCACGTCCTGGTAGCTGTACGGTCCGGTAGGACTCACCTCTCCGTTTGTAAGGGTCGGCAAGGAAATACATTGTACACCTAAAATGCAAATACGTAATCATCATTGATAATGCATACAGCTGTAGTTGTCGGCGAATGTCATTTTCCCTATTTGACAGTAAGCAAAAAGCGTTAAAAAATTTGGAGAAAGCTTTTCTTTCTTTTTTAATCAATGTAAATGAAAAGTTTACGAATCGAGTTGGTAGAAATATGTTAGTATATTTGAATCGTCGTTTTACGTACGTGTGCATGTTGGAACAGGATTACTCCATGTTCTGTTAGCTTGGCACATCGTGTCAGCAGTACCGTTCAGTTCGTATCCCGTGTCACAGGTAAAGTTTACCACGTCCTGGTAGCTGTACGGTCCTGCTGGACTAAGCACCCCGTTTGTAGGGGTCAACAAGGAAACACATTGTATTCCTAAAATGAAAAAAAAACATCATCATCATTGATAATACAAATAGCTGCAGTCGTCGGCGAACGTCTTATTGCCTATTTGAAAATACGCAAAAGGGCAAAAATTATAGAGAAAGCTAAACTTTCTTAGTCTATTTAATGTAAATAAATAGTTTACAAATCGAGTTGGTAAAAGTGCCTTTATATTTCAAACGTCGTTTTACGTACGTGTGCATGTTGGAACAGGATTACTCCATGTTCTGTTAGCTTGGCACATCGTGTTAGCAGTACCGTTTAGTTCGTATCCCGTGTCACAGGTAAAGTTTACCACGTCCTGGTATCTGTACGATCCGGCAGGACTAAGCCCTCCGTTTTTAGGGGTCGGCAAGGAAATACATTGTATGTCTAAAAGGATAAAAAATGTATTTATCATTGAAAAGGTACCATGTAAGCTACAATCGTCAGGTAACGACCGAACAACTTTTGAACTACGTAAAGACGAAAAAAAAGCAAACTTTTTTTTTCTAATTAATGGAAGACGTGAAGTTTACGTATATATTTTGTAACAATTCATTAGGTTTTTCCAAAAGTTGCTATACTTACGTGTGCATGTTGGTATAGGATTGCCCCATGTTCCGTCAGCTTGGCACGTCGTATTAGTGGTGCCGTTCAGTACGTATCCCGTGTTACAGGTAAAGTTGACCACGATTTGGTAGGAGGTCGCTGTGGTACTGAGCGCTCCGTTAGTTGGAACAGTCAGAGTATTACATTGCATTGCTGAAGAGGCAAATAACCTTTTATGATTCAAAACAAATCTATACTGAACATGCACGAAGTGACCCCTTTCAATACACAACAATGTTTATTACCTTCGCCAAGAAGGTTATGTTTTCAGAGGCGTTCGTGTATGTGTGTGTGTGTGTGTCTGTCTGTCAACACGATAACTTGAGAAGGCCTCGATCGATTGTCTTGATACTTGGTAGATGGGTAGGTCTTGATGAGTCCTCAAAATGATTAGATTTTGGACCCCCTAGCGGCTTGTTATGGTACTGCAGCTGAACTTCCGGATTTGATATCTCAAGATCCAGACATGCTATGGTGATGAAATTTGGATGGTAGGTAGCTCTTGTGCTGGGGAAGAAGTGATGTGAGTTAAGGCCCCCTAGCGGCTTGCTCTAGAACTGCAGGGGGGTTTAAAGGACAAATGTTTAAAAGAGGATAACTCAAGAACCGATTGATGGATCATCGTGATTTTTGGTATGTAGGTAGCTTAAGTGATGCTTGACATAATGATATTACAATTATGCGAATATTGATGTAATTTGCATAATTAATGAGGAAATTCTATAAATCAGCTGCATTCCATGATAGGAAGTTCAAGCTTGTAACATATGTTATTAAGAACGAGAGAAACACAGGTAAATATTGATTATGCAAATGAAGACTTAATTTGCATAATTAATGAGAAAATGTTATAATTGCGTAGTGGTAACTGCCTGGAATTTCATACTTGGGGTGTTTGAAAGTTAAGTGAAGATGAACATAATTAAACATAACTTATTCAAATAAGGACCACATTTGCATAATTTATGAGAAAATGGCATTCTTTGTTAAGATAAGACTGTCTTTTGGTGGAGAATATGATCAACAGACTGATATAATTCATGCAATTGAGGATCCTATTTGCATAATCAGGGTGATTAGTATATTTCTTATTCATAAAGGCTAACATCATTTGGCGAAGGTATGAGATCGTGGAACTCTAGTGTTTGAAATACATTAAGTTTTGTTACAGTAAGTTTTCTTACAAAACTATGTTGACTATCTGGTATAATCAATGTCTGTTCCATAGAATTCGATAGACATTGCCTGCATTTTCAGCAACTTGCAAACGGTCTTACGTGTGCATGTTGGTTCAGTATTGCTCCATGTTCCGTCAGCTTGGCACGTCGTATTAGTGGTGCCGTTCAGTACGTATCCCGTGTTACAGGTAAAGTTGACCACGGTCTGGTAGGAGGTCGCTGTGGTACTGAGCGCTCCGTTAGCTGGGACCGTCAGAGTGACACATTGTATTGCTGAAAAGGCAAATAACATTTTATGAATAAAAATATCTATTCAGAACATGGAAAAAGTGACCCCTTTCTATACACAACAATGTTTATTACCTTCCTTACCTTCGCCAAGAAGGTTATGTTTTCAGGGGCGTTCGTGTATGTGTGTGTGTGTGTGTCTGTCAACACGATAACTTGAGAAGGTATTGATGGATTGTCTTGATACTTGGTAGGCGGGTAGGTCTTGATGAGACCTCAAAATGATTAGATTTTGGGCCAGCTGGCGGCTTGTCATGGTACTGCAGCAGAACTTCCGGTTTTGATATCTCATGATCCAGACATGCTAGGGTGACGAAATTTAGATGGTAGATAGCTCTTGTGCTGGGGATAAAGTGACATGAGTTTGAGCCCCCTAGTTGCTTGCTCTAGAACTGCAGGTGGGTTTAATGGACAAATGTTTAAAGGGGGATAACTCAAGAACCGATGGATGGATCATCGTGATTTTTGGTATGTAGGTAGCTTGAGTGATGCTTGACATAATGATATTCTAATTATGCAAATATGGATGTAATTTGCATAATTAATGAGGAAATTCTATTTATCAGCTGCATTCCATAATAGGAAGTTCAAGCTTGTGACATATGTTATTAAGAATGAGAAACACAGACAGATATCGATTATGCAAATGAAGACTTAATTTGCATAATTAATGAGAAAATATTATAATTGCATAGTGGTAACTGTCTGGAATTTTATACATGGGCTGTTTGAAAGTTAAGTTAAGGTGAACATAATTAAACATAACTTATTTAAATAAGGACCTCATTTGCATAATTTATGAGAAAATTTCATCATGGCATTCTTTTTTAAGATAAGACTGTCTTTTGGTGGAGAATATGATCAACAGATATAATTCATGCAATTGAGGATCCTATTTGCATAATTAGGGGGATTAATATATAATTTCTTAATCATAAAAGCTAACATCATTTGGCGAAGGTATGAGATCGTGGAACTCTAGTGTTTGAAATACAGAAGTTTAGTTACAGTAAGTTTTCCCTTAAAACTATCTTAATTATCTGGTAAAAGATGTGTCGGTACCATAGAATTTGATAGACATTGCCTGCATTTTTTGCAACTTGCATATCACCTTACGTGTGCATGTTGGAGCAGGATTGCTCCATGTTCCGTTAGCTTGGCACGTCGTATTAGTGGTGCCGTTCAGTACGTATCCCGGGTTACAGGTAAAGTTGACCACGGTCTGGTAGGAGGTCGCTGTGGTACTGAGCACCCCGTTAGTTGGTACCATCAGAGTGTGACATTGTATTGCGAAAATGGCGAAAAACATTTTATCACTTGAACGTATTTTTGTACAGAATATTTACAAATTAAACTCTTTTTATACACGGCTTTTTCTTTAAGATACAGTACTTTTACTTACAATAAGTTTCCTTCTTAAAGTCACTTAACAATTTGGTGAATGTAATGTCTGCATCGTAGAGTTCGACAGACGTTGTTATCAAGTATTAGCAACTTGCAAATCGCCTTACGTGTGCAAGTTGGTACAGGATTGCTCCATGTTCCGTTAGCTTGGCACGTCGTATTAGTGGTGCCGTTCAGTACGTATCCAGTGTTACAGGTAAAGTTGACCACGGTCTGGTAGGAGGTCGCTGTGGTACTGAGCGCTCCGTTAGTTGGGGCCGTCGGAGACTGACATTGCATTGCTGAGAAGAAACAAAAAAAATTATAAATAAAGTTAATCTCTATACAGAACCAGCGCAGTAAACGCTTTTAAAACTCGGCAATGTTCATGTTTTTAATACAGTAAGTTTCTTTACAGTAATTTACATTCTGAAACTATCTTAACTATTTAGTAAATGTGATACTTGTACCGTACAATTCGATAGACATTGCCTGCATTTTTAGCAACTTTCAAATCGCCTTACCTGTGCATGTTGGTACAGGATTGCTCCATGTTCCGTCAGCCTGGCACGTCGTATTAGTGGTGCCGTTCAGTACGTATCCCGTGTTACAGGTAAAGTTGACCACGATTTGGTAGGAGGTCGCTGTGGTACTGAGCGCTCCGTTAGCTGGGACCGTCAGAGTGTCACATTGTATTGCTGAAAAGGCAAATAACATTTTATGAATAAAAATATCTATTCAGAACATGGAAAAAGTGACCCCTTTCTATACACAACAATGTTTATGTTTGAAATACAGAAGTTTAGTTACAGTTAGTTTTCCCTTAAAACTATCTTAATTATCTGGTAAAAGATGTGTCGGTACCGTAGAATTTGATAAACATTGCCTCCATTTTTAGCAACCTGCAAATCGTCTTACGTGTGCATGTTGGTACAGGATTGCTCCATGTTCCGTCAGCTTGGCACGTCGTATTAGTGGTGCCGTTCAGTACGTATCCAGTGTTACAGGTAAAGTTGACCACGGTCTGGTAGGATGTCGCTGTGGTCCTGAGCGCTCCGTTAGCTGGGACCGCCAGAGTCTCACATTGCCTTGCTGAAAAGGCAAATAAAATTTTATGAATAATTAAAATCTATATAACATTTTATGAATAATTAAAATATATACTGAACATGTACAAATTAACCCCTTTTAATACACATTAATGTTTATTTTTGAAATACAGAAGTTTGGTTACAGTAAGTTTCCTTTTAAAACTATCTTAATTATCTGGTTAAAGAAATGTCTGTACCATAGAATTTGATAGACATTGCCTGCATTTTTTGCAACTTGCATATCGCCTTACGTGTGCATGTTGGAGCAGGATTGCTCCATGTTCCGTTAGCTTGGCACGTCGTATTAGTGGTGCCGTTCAGTACGTATCCCGGGTTACAGGTAAAGTTGACCACGGTCTGGTAGGAGGTCGCTGTGGTACTGAGCACCCCGTTAGTTGGTACCATCAGAGTGTGACATTGTATTGCTAAAATGGCGAAAAACATTTTATCACTTGAACGTATTTTTGTACAGAATATTTACAAATTAAACTCTTTTCATACACGGCTTTTTGTTTAAGATACAGTACTTTTACTTACAATAAGTTTCCTTCTTAAAGTCACTTAACAATTTGGTGAATGTAATGTCTGCATCGTAGAGTTCGATAGACGTTGTTATCAAGTATTAGCAACTTGCAAATCGCCTTACGTGTGCATGTTGGTACAGGATTGCTCCATGTACCGTCAGCTTGGCACGTCGTATTAGTGGTGCCGTTCAGTACGTATCCAGTGTTACAGGTGAAGTTGACCACGGTCTGGTAGGAGGTCGCTGTGGTACTGAGCGCTCCGTTAGTTGGGGCCGTCAGAGACTGACATTGCATTGCTGAGAAGAAACAAAAAAAAATATATAAATAAAGTTAATTTCTATACAGAACCAGCGCAGTAAACGCTTTTAAAACTCGGCAATGTTCATGTTTTTAATACAGCAAGCTTCTTTACGGTAATTTACCTTCTGAAACTATCTTAACTATTTAGTAAATGTGATACTTGTACCGTACAATTCGATAGACATTGCCTGCATTTTTAGCAACTTTCAAATCGCCTTACGTGTGCATGTTGGTATAGGATTGCCCCATGTTCCGTCAGCTTGGCACGTCGTATTAGTGGTGCCGTTCAGTACGTATCCCGGGTTACAGGTAAAGTTGACCACGATTTGGTAGGAGGTCGCTGTGGTACTGAGCGCTCCGTTAGCTGGGACCGTCAGAGTGTCACATTGTATTGCTGAAAAGGCAAATAAAATTTTATGAATAATTAAAATCTATATAACATTTTATGAATAATTAAAATCTATACTGAACATGTACAAATTGACCCCTTTTAATACACATTAATGTTTATTTTTGAAATACAGAAGTTTGGTTACAGTAAGTTTCCTTTTAAAACTATCTTAACTATCTGGTTAAAAATATGTCTGTACCATAGAATTTGATAGACATTGCCTGCATTTTTTTGCAACTTGCATATCGCCTTACGTGTGCATGTTGGTACAGGATTGCTCCATGTTCCGTTAGCTTGGCACGTCGTATTAGTGGTGCCGTTCAGTACGTATCCCGTGTTACAGGTAAAGTTTACCACGGTCTGGTAGGAGGTCGCTGTGGTACTGAGCACCCCGTTAGTTGGTACCATCAGAGTGTGACATTGTATTGCTGAGAAGAAACAAAAAATATTTTATAAATAAAGTTGATTTATATACAGAACCAGCGCAGTAAACGCTTTTAAAACTCGGCAATGTCCATGTTTTTAATACAGCAAGCTTCTTTACGGTAATTTACCTTCTGAAACTATCTCAACTTTTTAGTAAATGTGATGCTTGTATCGTACAATTCGATAGATATTGCCTGAATTTTTAGCAACTTGAGAATCGCCTTACGTGTGCATGTTGGTATAGGATTGCTCCATAATCCGTCAGATTGGCACGTCGTATTAGTGGTGCCGTTCAGTACGTATCCCGTGTTACAGGTAAAGTTGACCACGATTTGGTAGGAGGTCGCTGTGGTACTGATCGCTCCATTAGTTGGGACCGTCAGAGTCTCACATTGCATTGCTGAAAAGGCAAATAAACCTTTATGAATGAAAAAAAAACAACTATATTAAACATGTAAAAAGAGACCCCTTTCTATACACATCAATGGTTATGTTTGAAATACAGAAATTTAGTTACAGTATATTTCCTTCTAAAACTATCTTTACTATATCTTGTAAGATCAATGTCTGTTCCATAGAATTCGATAGACATTGCCTGCATTTTCAGCAACTTGCAAACGGTCTTACGTGTGCATGTTGGTTCTGTATTGCTCCATGTTCCGTCAGCCTGGCACGTCGTATTAGTGGTGCCGTTCAGTACGTATCCCGTGTTACAGGTAAAGTTGACCACGATTTGGTAGGAGGTCGCTGTGGTACTGATCGCTCCGTTAGTTGGGACCGTCAGAGTATCACATTGCCTTGCTGAAAAGGCAAATAACATTTTATGAATAATTAAAATCTATACTGAACATGTACAAATTGACCCCCTTTAATACACATTAATGTTTATTTTTGAAATACAGAAGATTAGTTACAGTAAGTTTCCTTTAAAAAATATCTTAACTATCTGGTTAAAGAAATGTCTGTACCATAGAATTTAATAGACATTGCCTGCAATTTTTAGCAACTTGCAAATTGCCTTACGTGTGCATGTCGGAACAGGATTGCTCCATGTTCCGTCAGCTTGGCACGTCGTATTAGTGGTGCCATCGAGAAAAGTCCGGAGCAAGTGCTTTTTGGTGAATGCCCTCTACTTCTTGACACATTTCAATGTATCCATAATGTTTTATAATAACAGCAAATTTAGACATTACAGTCCAGTCTGTATGTAACACTGCTGTTTAATTCTATCCAGTGCCAGACAGCCCTTGCCAGCAGGCCTAAAATTCGCCATTACCCTACGTTTCCTGGCGACCGGGAACAGCTACCGATCCTTGGAGTTTCCCTTAAGGGTAGCCCATATGCAACACAATATCACTGTTCTGAAGCACATGTATGCCGGGCAATCGTCTCGGCTGTTTTTCATTGCCCATCGGCATTCTCACACACAAGTACAAGGAGTTTACATATGTCCCACATAACCCCATTTTCCTTACCACGTTATGCACTTATCAGCACATGTGACGTCATAATCTTAGGCAGGTGCCTGTTCGGCCACCCGACGGGTTCCGGGCAGTGAGGTTATGCTTAGGGCACATTTGAAACGGCGCCCGTTCGGCATGTCCTCGGTGTAGACGCCGGCCGGCGTCATGACGCCGAGCGTGCGTCGACAGTCAGGGTCACAATTAAATGTTCCTTTACGGCTCCCTGTCGGGGCCTGGTTGTGCTCCGGCCGGCGGCTTCTAATTCATATTCATAAACTTTTGGTCCTCTTGGCGGCCGGTTTCTGTCAGGGACCCGTCCGGTGCCCGGTCAGTCTCCCGTCTTGACCAGTGCGGCTTCCGGTAGGGTGCCGACCGGCTTTTACAGTTCGGCCGGGCAGCTGTCAGGTCCCTGGCGGGTCCAGGGAGGATCCCTGGCGGGATCCCGTCGTGTTTGTATATATACATGTATAAGCGCTGCACTGCCTGCCATCATTGCGACTTTAAGAGCGAATGTCTGTAAGGATCAAACAATGGTGGCACCGGTCAAAAAATCGATTTGGCTCATTTTTTGCACAGTGATAGTACTTGGTACATAACCCCTCAGAATAGCTTTCTTTTTGCTCAGAACCCATTGTTGCCATGGCAACGGGCCAAAGAAGTTTTCAGGACATTTGTCCAGATTTTGGCATGTACAAAACATAGAAATTGGCTAACTTTAGGGCACTATAACTGATCAGTGCTTTAGCGTAACGACAAGAGCAAAATGTGCTGATCAGAGCAATGCCTAAACTTGTATAAAATAGCAGTAAAGCCATTGTTCAGTAAAATCTGAGGTCTTGGGCACTCTGAATACAATGCACTGTTTTAAGGGTGTAAAAAAACTGAAATTTTGCCCAACTTTGAAGCACTGTAAGTCCCAAAAAGGGAGAATGTTTTGCTTGAAATTTACACTGCATAATAAACCACTTCAGGGGTATCGGATGCATGCTTGCAAAGTTTGGGTTCTTGTTTCGTTGCTACGCACTTGTCCTTTAAAGTAGGTCAGTTTTCGTTATTTTGATAATATGCCATTTTGTGCTATCTTTGACCTAGCATAAGTTCCAAACCAAACTAGTTCTTTACTTGAAGGTTACTTAGAATGTAAAATAACAAATTGTCTATGAAATGCATGCTTGCAAAGTTTGGGTTCTTGTTTTGTTGCTACGCACTTGCCCTTTAAAGTGGGTCAGTTTTCATTATTTTGATAATATGTCATTTTGTGCTATTTTTGAACTGACATAAGTTCTAAACCAAACTAGTTCTGTACTTGAAATTTATTTACAACATAAAACAATATGTACTCTGTGGAATGCGTACTTGCAAAGTCTGGGTTCTTGTTTTGCTGCTACGCACTTGTCCCTGAAAAAGGAGCAATTTGCATATTTTCATGTCATCTTGTCCTATCTTTTGACTCTCGTAAGTCTCAACAGTAAACTGTTTTGCTATTTAAATTTACACTGAATGTAAACCTATATATTGTCTATGAAATGCATGTTTGCATAGGTCAGATTCCTGTGTTCTAGTGGCTGTACCTGTCCCTGAAAGTAGGCCATATTCTTCACTTGTCCACCAATGCAAAATATTGGCTATCTTTGGGAGTCTAATATGAAAAAGGAAAGGTTTTAATTCTTCTATCTCTAATTTTGCCAGATCTATGCCTTGGGTTGTTTATGAAATAGTTAGCACCAAAGTTTGCATGGTATAGTTGTAGCAATGTGGCTGTTATTGAACGTATGCCATTTATCTTAATTTGATGATAACAGTCTTATATAGTCATATTTAGCGTCCCCACATTATTGACTCTCGAAGACTTGACTTGTTTCTATATTTGAATAAATATGATTAGATGCGCAGGGATTTATTATATTTATTCAAATATAGAAACAAGTCAAGCCAATATTTTGCATTGGTGGACAAGTGAAGAATATGGCCTACTTTCAGGGACAGGTACAGCCACTAGAACACAGGAATCTGACCTATGCAAACATGCATTTCATAGACAATATATAGGTTTACATTCAGTGTAAATTTAAATAGCAAAACAGTTTACTGTTGAGACTTACGAGAGTCAAAAGATAGGACAAGATGACATGAAAATATGCAAATTGCCCCTTTTTCAGGGACAAGTGCGTAGCAGCAAAACAAGAACCCAGACTTTGCAAGTACGCATTCCACAGAGTACATATTGTTTTATGTTGTAAATAAATTTCAAGTACAGAACTAGTTTGGTTTAGAACTTATGTCAGTTCAAAGATAGCACAAAATGACATATTATCAAAATAATGAAAACTGACCCACTTTAAAGGACAAGTGCGTAGCAACGAAACAAGAACCCAAACTTTGCAAGCATGCATTTCATAGACAATTTGTTATTTTATATTCTATGTAACTTTCAAGTCAAAAACTAGTTTGGTTTGGAACTTATGTTAGGTCAAAAATAGCTCAAAATGACATATTATCAAAATAATGAAAACTGACCCACTTTAAAGGGCAAGTGCGTAGCAACGAAACAAGAACCCAAACTTTGCAAGCATGCATTTCATAGACAATTTGTTATTTTACATTCTATGTAACTTTCAAGTCAAAAACTAGTTTGGTTTGGAACTTATGTTAGGTCAAAAATAGCTCAAAATGACATATTATCATAATAATGAAAACTGACCCACTTTAAAGGA